ATTTTCAGGATATGCTACATGAATACTTCCAGGGTGGAATAAAACAAGCAGCTGAAAAGAAGGTTTGTTGACTGTAGTTCGCATAATGTATTCAATATAATGTCTCATATTACATATTAATTAAACACTTCTTGTCTAATGAAATTAATTTTTTCTAGACACAACTCCTGGCAGATCTTCTATTGGAGGAATATCATCATGAACAACAAATTCAGAATCTTTATCCGATTCTGCGACAACTGATAGAAGCAACTGAAAACACGGCACTGCGAGAACTCAAGGACGTCATCATCGACTTCATAGTCGAGAAAAGAACTAAGTTTGCTGAAGGAAAGAAAGCTTTTGAGAAGGAGATTGAGGACATTTGGTCTGTAATAGAGCTCAAAGAAGACAGCTATAATGAGCTGTAGTTGGTGCTGCAGCTGGTTTATGTGAACGTGTCACATGTGACATTTTTCTCTTGTTTGTTTGGTGGAAGTATAATTATTTTCTGTTTCAGGCTTTTTGTGATCAAGTGTGTAATAATAAAAGACATAACTATAACATGTAATTTGATTGCACTAATGAATAAAAACAAATAATTTTACTATTTTTAATACTTTTCTTTGACAAGAAACATGTAAACTTTGGAAACGTGGATTTAACTTTTTTAATTGCTCTGTCAAATATATGTAAAGCAATTGTAGTGGACAATTCAATTATTAAATCAATCATGTTAAATTATGGGATTATTGTCTCATCAATCCTTTTTGTCTACTTTCCAACTTAGTTTAACATTTTACCAGTGTGCCTGATTTTCTTATGCATCTTTTCAGCAATTTTGCAATTTTGATGGATGGAAGAATCTATCCAGACAGTTTACCTTCTTCCATCAATAAAAACTGAACTAAGAAACTGAAATAAAGAGGAAATTATTGGGGATCAAGATAAGTTTGTGCCTATTACAAGAAGGGACCAAGAAGGATGTGAAAGACTGAGAAAAGTCATTTCTCTGTGTCTTTTTACACCAGTTTCTCTTTTACGTTAAGTCATGACGTAAAAGAGATCTTACATATTCCTGTAAGATGAAACTGCCAGGAGTTATTTCCTTGAATAGAAGAGAAACATGCAAACCTGAACTGTGCAAACCTAAATGGAAAGGACAACATTAACACAAACTGGGTTTTAAGTTGGAAACTCTTATTTTTGCTGTATCTTTGTCAATTATGGAATGTGATATTATCACTTTAGAGCTTAATATATATATTTATTTTACTTTTTATTTTACAAAGAACCTTGTTCATTTACTTGTTTCTTTGAAAAATACTCAAAGGAGCAATGCGTTACACAAAGCATTCCTGTGGGTTGCCGTCATTTTCTGTCATGCCAACTGATGATGCACCTAACGTTAATGAAACTAAAGAATTGGTTCACATAGGTGGAGTCCAGCAGGTACCAGGTGACCTGACGAGGATTTAAAGCACTTGTAGTCTGTCGAGTCACTAGTTTGGTTTATCTGTGCTCTTCTGCTATTCATCCAGCAGGTAAGGTCTGTCACTGATCAATTAAAGATCCTATATAACATTGTTACAGAGACTTAAAAGATCCATCTCATGTGCACTTCAATTAGTTTTATCTAAACTTTTATGTGTTTTATTTCAGTAATCATGGTCATCCATGTTAGACCCACTGCAGGACTGCTGCTCCTCTTCAGTCTGTTGGCTCTGATCAATCTCTCAAACTCACTGCTTAATGAAGAAAAACTGGTAATATAGATTTATGACCTGCTTTGTTTTGAGATAATTTTTTTTGTTTCCATCTGTGTGTGCGTTGCAAAGCTTCATCTAAAATAGTGCAGATGATGTTTAAAAATGAACTGAAAAACAATAATTTAAGAATCTCTCTTTGCAAAAGAAAACAAATAAATAAAAAATACAGAAGCTTTAATGTCAACAAGTTATTAATTTTCTATTGTAAAGTGTGTGTTTTTACTACCACCTCATAATATAAACTTTTTTAATTTTCAGGATATTCTACATGAATACTTCCAGGGTGGAATAAAACAAGCAGCTGAAAAGAAGGTTTGTTGACTGCAGTTCACATAATGTATTCAATATAATTTCTCATATTACATATTAATTAAATACTTCTTGTCTAATGAAAATATTTTTTTCTAGACACAAATCCTAATAAAACTTAAGTTGGTGGAATACCATTTTGGACAGCAAATTGAGAATCTTTATCCGATTCTGCAACGACTGACAGCAGCAACTGAAAACACGTCACTGCGAGAACTCAAGGATGTCATCATCGACTTCATAGACCAGAGAAAAACTTTATTTGCTAATGGAAAGAAACATATTGAAAAGGATATTGAGGACATTTGGTCTGTAATAGAGCTCCAAGAAAACAGTCATAATGAGCTGTAGTTGGTGTTGCAACTGGTTTATGTGAACGTGTCACATGTGACATTTTTGTCTTGCTTGTTTGGTGGAAGTATAATTATTTTCTGTTTCGGGCTTTTTGTGATCAAGTGTGTAATAATAAAAGACATAACTATAACATGTAATTTGATTCCACTAATGTATAAAAACTGCTACCCAAATAATTTTGCTATTTTTAATACTGATCTATGACAAGAAACATGTAAACTTTGGAAATGTGGATTTAACTTTTTAATTGCTACTGTAATTTAAAAAAGCGATTGCGATGGACAGTTTCATTATTAAATGAATAATGAATAAATCATATTGAATTGAGGGATTATTGTCGATCCTTTTTGTCTCCTTCCCAAATCATATTAAAGCTTAAAACAAGAGGTTTGTGAGCCTCCATTGTTTCAAAGCGGTTTTTATGCTCACAAGCTTCTGCCTTTATTTTCCAAATGTAATAGTGTCAGCTAGTTACCCTTTTATTTTATTGAGAACAGTTTCATTTTTACAATATTTGCCTGAAGCGTTTAAACATCAAAAAGTGGAAAAAGGGTAAGATGACAGCAAAATCGTTAAAACAATTACATGACTTGTCAAAAAAGGAATTTATTCTGTTTAAAAACAGAAAATGAAATCAAAGTGTGAAGATGTTTGCTGCATCAGACTTGATGATTTTTGTAATGTTTTCACTCTTTCTCTGTGTTAATGATCAAAATACTTAAATTATCAGTGTTGATTCACAAGACATGGATTCAATCTTTGAGCTGAGGACAAGAGATCAAATGACAAAACTGGAGTAGAGGTGTCAAACTTAAATAAAAGCTGAACTAAAACTAAAAACATAGACGGTATAATCAGCCAAACAGGAGAAATGTTTATTTATGTTTTCTTGAAACTTTAACAGGATGATTTCCTAAGAATGTCCAGGACAGTAAACATTCGATCAGACTTTTAAGCTAAAGAAAATTACACAAAACATCCAAACGTGCAATTCATCAATGGTCCCTGAAATCAAACTCAGCAGAAGATAAGATGTTTGGTCAGTCTGAGAACAGCTTCTCCTTTTCTTCAACAATTGGCCATGACTTTCAGTAACCCTCAAAAGAAGTGTTACTTTTTATAGGTTGTTTAGATGCAGTTAAACATTTACTGACAGAAGGTGGCTATGGTGTTCATATTATTTCATATGACTAAACAAACCTAAATGAAAGAGAAAAAACTGGGTCTGTTGCTGTTAATAAAACCGTCCTGCAAATAATAGAAGAGCCGCATGAATGAAGTCTGAACAGACTGCTGACTACAAATGCTTTACATACTTTTAAGGGTTTGCCTTAAATGTGATGGGCCCTTTTACTTTCATTTTAAATAAACAATGCAGTTTACAAGAAGACATTAAAAACCTCCAAAGTCAACAAGAGGCTAAACATGTTTTCAGTTATTCTCAGTCAAGAAGCAAATGTGGAAGTAAAAGCTGGTGTGATAGATTATCAACTTTGTGATTTAATTGAAATGTATCAAGAAGATAACAATATAATATATTTTAGTGTTAACTGCAAACTGGTTGGGAGCCTCAAATTCCTGAAAGGAAAGATAACACAAATCAGAAATACATGTATCATTTAGGATATGGATAACTATCTTAGTTATGGATAACTAAGATAAAAACCAGGGGATTTGTGAAGTGTCGTTATGGTTAAAAGTGAAGGATGAGCTGGTTTGTGATCTGAGTTAAAATACAGAAGAGTGTGTCTGTGCTTTCATGAGAGAGACGGTGCTGTTGTTGAGCCTAGTTGTGCGGGTTTACAGCGCCCTCTAGTGTCTACCAGAAACCAGTCAAGAGGCATGTGGGTACATGATGCCTCTGCATCACGCCTGTGAGGATGTGGGTTTCTGAGTGCAGCGAGTTGTGAGCAGCTCTTCCTGTTTTTGACTTTGTTTTCCGTTTATGATGCGGTAGGTCATGACGTGCGCTTCTGTTATTTTGTCAAATACTCAGTTGGGGCCCTGACCATACCAGCCCAATGATTCTGCAGTCCTTCATTTGTTAGACCCAAATGAAAATGAGGGTCAGCATAGAGATTATGTTTGGTTTTGAAAAGGGTAGACGACCTCAGTGACAGATTCCCAGGCAGTAGCTAGAACACTTTGAGAATCTCCACAATATGGTCATCAATTCATCCATTGAGAATGAATTGACTGGATCTAAATGCATAGTCATTGTTTGGGAACAATTTCCAGAAGCTGTTCTGCTGGCATCTGTAAGCCATGGCCTTCAGTTTGCATTACATGACAGCTGAGGTGAAGGGGCCTGAATGTCTCAGGTTGTCAACCAGATAAATTGGTTTGTTTTCCCATTAGGTGATGGTGTAACAGAGCAAAATGTCTAGAATGACTGCAACCTCCACTGGAGCAACAAGCGCTGCTCTGGTCTATTGTGGTGACAGAAGAATTAGTCTGCAATCTGATGCTTTCCATTGGTTAATTTTCAAATTCACATGAATCTTTTAACTTCTGCTTTCTTCAGGAAAACCCATTCACTGAAATTGTAATGTACATTTTTATTTAGAAAAACTCCACCATTCCCAGAAATCATAATTAGCAGCAAGAAGGAACCAAAAGTAGTTGTTAATTTTGCATACAAAATAAAACCTGAGAAACGTACAGCAAAACATGTTTTAAGACTTGCCATAAACAATGTACTATTAATTTCTCTTTGAATATCTTATTCTTTAACAGGCATCACTTCACTGTGAAGAGTCATTGCAAACATATTTAAAATCAAAACAGTTGGCAATTATTTTCATGAACTTTACTTTTATTGCATTTCAGAGAGTTTTCTAGTGATGAAGGTCGAAGCTGGGAAACCCTCCCCCCAAACAAACAACTAAATCTTCAGAGACGAGTGTGAAAATCCTCATCGACATCTTGGAGTTATAACTCAGCCTGCCGCTCCTCCAATTGACTAATTAACATCTCTGCTTTCTTGATGCTGTTTTTCATCTTCTCCACTTTTCTAGCAAACTTATCATTTTCCTCCTTTTCATTAACATTTCCCTCCTCAACAATATCCTTCACGTTCTTCACAAATCGCTCCAGTGACGGATAGTCTTCAGGAAGTTCTTCCTTGTGTTCCTTCATCTCTTCCGTCATGAAATCCATTAACTTGATGTAATTTTTTAACTCTGAAGAGAGACCAATTCTTTTCTCTTGATAAGCCTGGTGGGAAAAAAAAACTGCTTTTAGGACATTACAGCAAGTATTCTGATAATCCAAGTCATATAAAAGGTCAGACTGACGTGAACCAAATGTAAGGAGATCTAAAATAAGTCAGACCAGGAGCAGTTTTCTCAGAAATTATCAGGGTACTAGCTTTTTTTTTTGGTGAGGACCTTCTGGGGACTGTTTAGTTCATCTTCCTCTTCTTTAATTGCAGTTAGCAAAAAGTTTAAAGGAATAGTACTGCCACCAACTGGTAAGCGTGATAAAATGAAACAACTCCCTCCCCCACCCCCAACCTTCACATAAAAATTAAAGTCTTAAAAAAAATAGAGTAAGGCCTGGTAACTTTTTCTTCTTTCTGAAGCAAATCAATTGGCCCAGAGATCTAGACAGAACTGCAGGATGCTCAATCAAAATCTTCACTACTATGCATTATATTTTGTCACTTTAGGAGTTCTCTTAAACTTTGAGGTGCTTTTTCAATAACTTATCCTACTGAGGTAAAATTGTAAGAATGACCTAAAACGACCTCACTGGGAGTTAATTTTACTGTTCGGATTCATTGTGAATTCAGGCCCTGATCACTTGGAAATTTTCCTGAAAGTAACAGCTGTCTTAACATTCATCACCATCTCCTTGCATTTTGATTTTAGCATTGTTTTCATTTGCCACACAAGTAGTTTTTAAGATAAATGATACACGATTAGACAATTATCTGAGTGGACACTCCTTCACATAGGCCGAGACAAACTACAGTTCTCTCATGAAACAATGAAATGTGGGACAATGGTTCTGATTTAAGCTAAAACAAATATGTTTACCTTAATTTTCTCAAATGCTTCCTTATTTTTCTCCAGCGCTTCCTTTAACTGCTTCTGCAGGTTTGGGAAAAATATACTTTTAGTCTCACTCATGTTGTTGTTAAAATATTTGAGCCATCATTTCACCAATATTAACAAATTTACCAGCTTCTCTTTGGTGAGGTGGGAACTCGAAAAGCAGAAGAGGCTGAGCAGAATGCAAATCAGGAACAGGCCTTTTGTGCTCCTGGTACCAGCAGGTTCATACTTTATAGCAGTCGATTTTACTGCCATGTCTGTTCTGGAGAATGATTTACGAGTGATGCTTGTTAGACAACTAAAAGCATAAAGTAACAGGGAATTGAAAGTAATGCAAACTTACCAGAGAAGTGCAATGCGTAAAGGAGAGCAAAGCAAAAGTGGAACTGTAACAGGAATGACGGATTGCTTATATCTGGCCAGTAGGAACCTCCCACAAGGCTTTGTAAGGGCGTGTAGCTGGCATGAGGTGGTGACATCACCACCACTATCTGGACTCCACTGTGGAACAATCCCCTTCTTAACATGTTTTATTTACAAAATGAAATCCAATTTTACACATCCACTTATTTTAATGGAGTACTTCTCAATTCGTGCATGTTTTAGGTGTTTCCCTGCAGCCACACACCTGGATTTATTGTATGATTGACAGGCTTCTGCAGTAATTGATGCCTGCAGAACAGGTAATGCAATCATTTGGATCAGCTGTTGTGAAATAGAGGCACACCTAAAACATGCACAGCAGGCGGCCTGAGGACTGGAATTGAGAAGCACCGTTTTAATGGAATGTTCTGATGTTCTCATGATGTTGAACTTCACATGTAACAGTGACCAGGTATTCCAGGCTTTGGACCCAAACAATTTAATAAACATGTTACATTGGGGGACAATATACAAATTGTTTCACAATGCTTTCAAACCAGTCAAAAAAGTAATAAAATAAAATAAAAAAAATATATATATAAAGGCATCTCTTTCAGTTTCTTGATGATTAATTTTAATTGATTTTATCCAAAAGTACAAATCTGAATGTGTTGTGATACGGACAAAGCAAAGAAACATGTGGCTATATTTTAATTATTAATTATTTTTATTTTACATTCAAAAGAAGGTTAGATATATTTTTTTGCTTTGATCACACTTATTGTGTACTTAGTCTTTAAATAATGATAATGGTCAAATACTGCATTGGACCATTATCATTGTTTTAAGACTAATGCTGTATTAAATCTTTGTGTCATCATTATTGAGTAAAAGAGCAGCTATAATTGCTGTTTGTTGCATATTTCTTTTTATAATGTGAAATCAAAATTGTCTGGAAAAATTTTAAATTTAATGTGGTGTTCAGATATGGAGAATAAAAAGAAAAATCACAAAAATCAGCAGATTTAATTATTTTATTCAAGGTAAAGAATCATCAATATAATTTGCTCTGTTTAACATTTTATAATTTCAGACTGTTACAGGATCAGTTTTATTAATCACCAAAATAGATATCACCTGAAGATGATGAGGACTGTCTAACCCTCTGAATTTATTTCCACATCAAAAACTTTCAACATTTAAAATGAATCAATACATTCAAAGCCATGCAGTTAATAAAATGAACCACCCGATCCCACACAACTAGCCTGGAAAAAGTTATAATTCAGCTTGCTGCTCTTCAAGGTAATTGATTAATGTCTCGGTTTCCTTCATTTCCCTTTCAAAGTTCTCTATTTTTGCACCCCAGTAATCATCTGTCTTGTCGATGGAAGCTTTGGTCTTTACGAAGACTTCCTTCAACTTCTTCATCAGTGACTCCAATGGCAAAAAGTCTATGGGAAGTTTTTCAGCATATTTCTTTCCTTGTGCCATCAATGAATCCATTAGATCTATGTAGTCACTCATCAGGTCTGGATAGCTGCCAATGTTTAAACTTCTGGCTTCCTAAGGTGGAAAAGATCAAACTTTTTAATGTACATTGAAAATCTTGGATGTCCGTCTCACCAGTAGAATCATAATTCTGTCATCAATAATGGACTCAGTTGCATGCATTCAATCTTAATCATCTAAAATTATTACAACCATTATTTTTAAGCTGAGATTCAGGGTAATAAAGAATTTAAGCGATGTAAATCTTGTATTTGGACATGAAGGAAAAACAAAATTCACTGCACATTTGAAGAAGTTAGATCCATGTGAAGTTAGATTCAACAACAAAGATCATAAAAAAAGGTTATTTTATTGTGTGCTATTGTATACAAAACAAATTTCTAAATGTTTTAATAAACTTTTAGCACACATCTTTCTAAAACTGTGTCTTAAGTATTAATATTAATCAGGGCTGGAATATTTTGGTGCTCCAACACATTCAATCGAATGAAACGATTGAATCACCTCCTTATTATGCAGTCAAGTTCTCCAGAGTCCTGCTAATGACTTCATTATTTGACTCGGGTGTGTAAAGCAGAGACGCATGTAAAAGTTGCAAAAAACTGTTTTTTGAGTCTTGGATTTGAAGACTCCAGGTATAGATGAAATATGAACAAAACTAGACCTACACTGAAGAACAAATAGTTCTCTTGGTATAGAATTAGAGTAAAATAAATTCTGGCGTGTAATTTAAAGCAACATAATTCGGCTCACCTTCATTTGCTCCAGATCTTTCTTCGCTTGCTGATACTTTTCCTTCAACTCTGCCTGAAAGTGGGTTAAAATTGTCATTTACTTTCCCTCACAAATTGTCAAAATTTCTATAAAAATTGTCGACAAATATTGCTAATAAACTTACCAGCTCTCCCTTGTCTAACTGGGAGTTTGTGAAGCCGACCAGACCGATCAGAGTGCAGATCAGGAACAAGCCCTTCATGGTTCTGGTAACTGATGCTGTGACTGTTATGGAGAAGAAAATAAGAAATAGTTTTTGAAGAGACATATTTTAATTTTAGACCTTTAGCACTATTTGAACGTACCAGAAATGTGGCGAAGGTGGTAAATGAAAAAACAGTGTGGGGAGGCACAACGCTGAGGGTTTTTATATAGTGTACTTCAGAAGTAACCTCCCTCTGTTTTGCGTTTTGGACTTAGGATTTTGAGTGAGGTTTGCTTTCACTATGTGCTCTCCATTGTGGAACAACGCCCTGTCTGTTGTGTTTCATTTACAGAGAAACTATACTTTTAACTTTCAATTTAGATGTTTAAGCCAAAAACACTTATTTGTAAAATCTAAATTTATTTGTAAAAACATAAAATGGCAAAAATTGCTGCCATGTGACGAACTAAACTACAAGGTTAACAGGAAGTGAGTTAAAAGGCTATTCATTCACATTTTCTACTTCTTCTTTGCATAGAAATTTGAAAATGCCCATTGCTTAGACAAATAAAGGTAAATTTAGTTAAATGAAGGTAAATGGAACTACACACATCTCTCATTATTCTAGCTATTTCTACTGTGAAAAGGCATCTATGGCAGATTCATCCATTTTCTTGGGTGAACTTCTTGTTCCTAGTGGGTTCAGGAAGGGTGAATTTCTTTCTATCTCCAGCGAACGATAAGGGTGAGATCCGGGGTCACCCTGGACAAGTCGCCAGTCTGTCGCAGGGCATCACAGAGACAGACACACTCACACCAAAGGAGAATTTAGAGAGACCAAGTAATCGAACCCAGGCTGCAAGGCAACAGTGCTACCAACTGCACCACTGTACAGCCCATGGCAGATTAATTTAAGAGGAAAGTAGTAATTACAGCATCAGCTACAATTGTGAAATAAAATGGATTCCATTGCCACGTCAAACTCTAGCAGAGGCCTTGATGCTGGATGGTTCTAATTCACACAACAGCTCAGACAGATTGAGAGACGGGATTCAAACAGCAACCCACTTATTACTATTTTTACTCTTTCACAAGGAAACAAGAAGCAAATCAACAGGTATGTCATTCCTATTTGCTTCTTCTTATCTTGTTTGCACATAAATTTGAAAATGCCCTTTGCACAGTCAAATAAAATCAAATGGTAATCCCTCATTGCCATTTGATTTTAAGCAAACACTGCTTATCTTTAAAGGTGTCTTTTTCTTTCATTTTCCCAGAAATTACATATGGCAGCTGTATTTAAGAGGAAAGCAATAGTTACAGCATCAGCTACAGTTGTGACATTAACTGGATTCTGTGCCAGCTCATTGCCACGTCAAACTCTAGCAGAGGCCTGGATGCTGGACGGTTCTGTTTTTTTACCACCACAATCTCCAGATGAATGTCTGGCATCTTTTTATCAAGCTGGACATTGAAATCACATAAGATCTTGGCTCTGCAGGGTTTCCCCCAGTGTTTTATACGCCTGGTGGGCTGCTAGGCATTACTTATCCCTCATTTTTAAGGTAAAATGTCTTTTATTGAACAGAGTTAGTGTGAGGATTTGAGTTTTCTTTGTGTTTATTTAGTTTCTCTCAGTTGAATCTACATGTTGTCCCATCTACCCCTTGATTGTCTTGTTTCTGTGATTTCTCCCCTGTTCACTTTATCCCACCTGGTTCTCTTGTTACAGGTCGGATCCCCGTCTATTTAGTCGTTAGTTTGGTCACATGTCTATTCATGTGTTTCCAGTTCCTACCTGCTCTGAGCTCTCAACCTTCTGCTGCCTGGATTTTTGTAATTAGTTTTTTTCCCTCATTAAACCATCATTTTTACACCAACCTGGGTCCTCCGCTTCATCCTCACCATTTCAGCCAGCAAATCATAACAGTTAGCAAACATTTTTTTATTGTAAAGTCTTATTGTACAAATGAAATCAATTAACTTTCAATTGATACATGCATTGTGACTGGGTCTAATGGCCACCAATACTCACCTGTTCCCTGTTCTTAGAGTTTTTCATTACTTAATAACTTTGAATATATTTGCAGAATTAACACTTATAGAAATAGGTCAACTTTCTTTTGTTTGTTCATATTTTTATAAATATGACATTTCATATCTACTTTATGTTGTGAAATTATTTACCATTTATGTCAGAAAATGAAACTCATATAGATACAAAACACATAGAGGTATATTTCAAGTCTTTATTTCCTGTTGTTTTGATCTTCATGACTTACAGATAATGAAAATTGAAAAGTGTCCCAGAAAAGGATTAGTGTATTGTGTGTAATTTTTTTTTTTTACTTTGATCACATTTATTGTGTACCACTTTGCAACAAATAAAACATGTTATGTATAAGACAGAGGCTTTGCCACACCTTTGCAACGGTTATTGTTGTCCTGAGCCTCACCGCAAATTTTGCAGCTTACCTCTGCAACTTCCTGTTGCATTTTCATTTTTTCTAGAGTGATAAAATGTAGATCCATTTCACAGAAAGTAGCTACAGTTTTTTTAAGACATAACATCACAGAAGGGATGGATGTTTTGACCCCCTAAAAGAGGC